GGGGGTGTTAGAGAAGGAAAAGGAATATTAGAATATTAGTCTTTGATTTGTATTAGACTTGTATATGGTAGCTTCCTTTTATTTAGCATTCCTAATCCTATTAGGAATACCTTGCTGTATATATATACTCCCCATTGTATTGTAAATAACCAAGAGAGAATACAATAGTTTTTCAGCCCAGAAACACTACTACGTAACATGAATGTTTAGGGTTGGTATTAAGTATAGAGCAGTATTTGTTTTACCTATTGAGATTTAGGGGTAGAATTTTATTCTTACAAGTTTTGTATAGAATTATTTTATGCTATTTAGCTGCAACCTTAAGGATTGTTTAATACTCTGTAAGTGCAAAGAATTTTTTGCATGGAGCTTATGAACCTCTGTTGATACTCAGTTCATTTTTAACTACAGATTGGGAAGGCTAACTTTTAGGAGAAGAAAATTTTTTGCAAGCACACAATTTTTACTTTGTAGAAATATAAGGTTGTTTTTAAGGTTTTATTTAATGTTAAGAAGAGTAGCAACGAAATCTGGAGGCACAAGCTCCCAACAATCAATAGCTGTATCAACACCCCGTGCTAACGAGTAGCAAGAGCATTAGAAGAAAGACAAACAAAACAAAAAGAAATAGAACCAAGCAGAGACACGAGAGGGTGGTTCTCGTCAATGATCGAACCAAAATAAGAAGTCGACTCCACCTGAAGGGCTTGCACAAACACAAGCAATCAGAACACACTCCAGCATCACGAATGCCCTTCTTCTTAAGCTAAGAAAGCGCCTCCCAATATGTTATAGCTTCTGCTAAGAGTGGATCATGGGGACAACTCAACCACCCAATGGTGCTTGTGTACTATTGTCATTTTGAATAGGCACAAAACTGCACCATATGTATATCATTTGTATAGAAAGCTCTAAACATTAGCCATATGTAAACCTTAGAGAATATAGATTGTTATGGCACTTATGTAAACAATATCTTGGGCACTACACGCGCAACGTGCGTCTCAAGCTAGTACTAATATAAAGGGATATTATATATGGATTCCCGTATTCTAGCATGAGAGAGTCTCCCATACAATTTCGGTGCATATGAGCTTTAGCTATTATATGAAATAAATTTATAAAAATAACTATCAATGAACTTTACATACTAGTGGTTTGAATTTAATTAATTAATGGATGTATGTTTCTTGAGTGTTAGACAAATGTGCAACTCTAGAGAGGGGTGAATAGAGTTGTTTTCAAGAATGTGCGTTTTTTGTGTGTGAAATAATAAAATCGCACGAATAAATAAAGAGAGTAAAGGAAAGAAGAACACCAAGATTTATACTGGTTCACCACCTCGTGGCTAGTCCAGTCCTCCGAGAGACTCTCTCGAAAGTCCTACTAATCTTCAAGCTTCAACAGGTGCTTGAAAACTGGTACAACTTGAGAACTTGAATCACACAAGCCTCACTTTCTTACAACAACAAGACTTGAGTCACACAAGTCTTAAGAACAACACTCAAAAGAGATTGAGTTTACAACACAAGAATTGAAGCTTCACACAATTGAGCAAAGTAGTGTTCAAGAGTTAAAGCTCTATGGATGACAACTTCTTTAGCACTCAAAGAAAATATTTCTAACTCTCAAAAATAATATTTTGATGAGGAAGATGATGCAAAGGATGAATATAGCTCAAGAATATATTGGAGTGCAAGAGATGTGTTTGAAATGAAGGAGAATGAGGGATTAAATAGGCTGAAGAAAATAGAACCGTTAGAGCAGGCTGAGAATAGGCACCAGACAAAATTAATCGATTAAAGTGGAGAAATTAATCGATTAGACGGCGCTGTCTGAACTAATCGATTAAGGTGAAGAAAAAAATCGATTAATTGGAAAAAAGTCTTCAGCGAAGAATGCAATCTTAATCGATTAAGTTTGATGGAAAAATCGATTAGACTGCGCAGTGAGAGCTAATCGATTAAATGAATAAGAAAAATCGATTAACAATGAAGGCTTGAGAAATCCAGAACTGGATCTAATCGATTAATTTAGAAAAATTAATCGATTAAAGTGGAAATAATGCGCAAACATAAAGGCCCCAGGCCAAGTGCGATTGGAAGCCTTTGGCTTCTTACTCGTTGTTTGGGACAACGGGAATATCCACGGACGCTCCATCTCCTATTCAATGAATTTGAGTAGGGGAGAGAAAAAGAGTCCAAAAATTATTTTGTGTGTCAAACGATGTACACGAAAAATATTTAAATTATATTTTTCTTACCCAAAAAAATTGTGTAATCTTAAAAAAATGTTTTCAAGAAATTTTGACACACTTATTTTGAAACTGACTCAGTAAAATATTTTAGGCAGATGAAAAGTAATTTTTCAACTGACTCAAAAATAATTATTTTTATCCCTCAAAAATAATTTGTTTGTGCAGAAAAAAATTGTCATCCTTACAAAGATTCCTAGACTTAATTAAAAAATAAAAAAGTCTTCAGAGTCTTCACTTCACTTCAAAAAAATCTGCGTAGGGGTGATCGTCGATTTTTTTATCACCGTAAACTTCTTGATACCCTTCTTTGCTTTTCTCGATACGAAAATAAATTTTCGATCAACTTGAAATTAATCATCCTGTTTGTCATTCATCAAAACAAAAAAATATTACAGAAGAAATAGTAAAGGGGTTTGAACTCATGTCCAATAATTTCTTCCTTTTTGATAATGACAAACATACTTGAGAAAGAGCAAAGTAAGAGTTCAAAAATTACTTCCTTTTCAGAATAATTTCCCCTGCAAGGTTAGAGAAGTGCAGTAAAAAAATAATCGGAGTAATAAGCGGAAAAACGATTTTAAAAAAGTTTCTCAACTATCCTTCCTTCCCCCTTTTTGCATTATCAACTGATAACCTTCCCCCTTAAACAATGCCGGGATATAGAAGGAAAGAAAAAAAAAATGGCAAGAGTTTTCTTTAAAAGAGAACTCTTAGTAAAAATGCCACAAAGGGACAATATGTTCTAAACAAGAACAATATTGTCAAACCAACAATGATATCAATACATAATAGAAATTAATATTAACTAGCATCATTGAAAGGAACATCATCATCCACCAAAAGAGTCATAAAACAATAACATTGGCAAATAACAATGTATCATAATAAGTCAAGATAGAAGGAATATAATCAAAGAGAGTTCGCCGGACGAGCTCCTCCGCTAAAGCTGTGACGCGGGCCACGGTAGGAGCGGGATTGCTCAAAACGAGTCATCCTCTCGTTGAGCTGGCGAACGTCTTCTCGGATGCACGTGAGACTATCGAAGATCCTCTTCACCCAAGAAGGTTCCGGTGCATCTTCTCTTGGACGAGTCCTCCGTTGACGAGTGACGCGCTCCGTGGCTCGACTTCCTCCGGCTCGAGATGACTCAGCTTGAGTCTCGTTTTGGCTCTCTTCTTCTTCTGCGACTATCAGGTCCAGATTTGGTGCAGCATCACCCTCCTCTCGATATACGATCTGGGAAAACTTGGCTTCAGTGATGAAACAAGTCTTCTTGACCGGCACTTGAGTGTCCTGAGTAAAGTCTATTTTGCAATGAGCAAGGATATGCATAATGGGGATGGCAAAACGGAGATGGGAAAAACGAGTGCCATCGCTAAGTGCAACAATAAAGAAGTGAACCCAATCAAATTTGACATCGTTCAACAGGACGTGAAACAAACGAATATCGTCCTTATTGACAACACCATGGTTCGAATCACGGGGCAACAAAACATAGGAGAAGATGTATTGTTGGACGCATTGAATTAAAGTGAGATTAATGACACTCGGGTTGCTAGAATTTCTAAACTTGAGGTCACGATGATCTAACCCGAGTTGTCGCCAAATTGCCTCATCTTGGAATGTTTCATCCAAGTTTTCCGTAATTTCACCGCGACGAAGGCCAAACAGAGAAGTCAAACCGACACCGTCAATGAAAACGGTTTTGCCGTCAACATAGGAAATGAGAGATGGCGAGTCTCCCTTAGTGGTACGAAGATTTGCATAAAATTGACGTATAAGATTTGGACAGAAGAATTCATACGTCAAATGGATGAAACGAAGCAAACCTTGCTGAAGGAAGAGAGACTTACTCGGGGCATAGGTCGCCGATTTGAAGAGGTCCTTGTTCACGATCTTAGGAGAGACGATCTCCTTCGTGAGGAAGATGTTGTGGAACCTCTCGACTAAAGCCCCAATGTTGAAGGCGAGACCGGTTTGTATGTGAATGTACTTGCTCCCTTCACAACGCCATGGCCTCTCACTCTCCTCTGTCGCCGTTTCTTGACCCGATGAAGCGTTCTTGCACCTTGGCATCCTTCCTTTTTGAAATTGATGAAATTTGGTGAAAACATGGAAGAAATTTGAGAAGTTTCTGATGAAGATTGAGAAAATTTGAGAAGGGAAGGAGTTAGGGTTTCTCTGATTCGTAAAAGGAGAAAGGCGAAGAAGACGAAGACTGGCTGTGATATAAGCAAAAAATCGAATATTAATCGATTAAAAAACAATATTTAATCGATTACGGAACACAACCGAGGCAAATCGATTAAATTAAGCTTATTAATCGATTAGAAGTGGAGCAGAACCAAACGTTTGCGTTTCAAGCTATTAATCGATTAAACGAAGGAGGTTAATTGATTAAGATGGGCAGATGAATCTAATCGATTAATTTAACCAAATTAATCGATTAAAAGTGACGCAGAGCAAAAAATTTCGGATTTTAATCGATTAACAAAAGTCAAGTAATCGATTAAGAGGGACATATGCGACTAATCGATTTCTCTTCGAGGAGTAATCGATTAAAATTTGTTTTAAAAAAATCATCAAGTCCAATTCGATTGAATACCAAGGGAAGAGATACCTACAATAAAAGCCCTGCAAAAAAGAATTTATCGCGCCTCCGACGCTCAAATTAGTATAGTCAATAAAAAGAATGGATTAGTTCATAGAGATATCCAAAATTCCACGTTCGTTCCGAATGTGGAAGAAACTCTCCCTACTAAGGGGTTTCGTGAAAATGTCTGCCAATTGATGTTTCGTTTCAACAAACTCAATTGTGACATCTCCCTTTTGGACGTGATCTCGTGTGAAGTGATGCCTAATTTCTATGTGTTTAGTCCTCGAGTGAAGAACGCGGTTCTTCGTTAGACTAATAGCGCTCATATTGTCACACCTAATAGGGATGTGATCAAGTATAAGGCCGAAATCCACTAGTTGTTGTTTTAGCCAAAGAATTTGGGCACAACAACTTCCCGCAGCGACATATTCCGCTTCGGTGGTGGAAAGCGCAACACTAACCTGCTTCTTACTAAACCACGCGATTAACGAATGACCGAATAAGTGGCAAGTACCGCTGGTACTTTTCCTATCGAGTTTGCAACCTGCAAAATCCGAGTCGAAATAGCCAACAAGATGACATGTTGAACCTTTGGGATACCAAAGACCTGCGTTCAACGTGCCCGCGAGATATCACATTATCCTTTTGATCGCAACCAAGTGCGACTCTTTAGGACATGATTGATACTTAGCGCATATACAAACGGAGTACATGATATCCGGTCTACTCGCGGTAAGATAAAGTAAAGAGCCGATCATACCTCGGTAGCGCTTGATGTCAACATCTTTACCTTTTTCGTCCTTGTCGAGATAGCAAGAGGTGCTCATTGGTGTGTCAATGGATTTGGATTCGGTAACATCGAATCTTTAAAGCAATTCCCTACAATATTTCGTTTGACACACGAATGTTCCTTCTTTGCATTGTCTAATTTGCAGCCCAAGGAAGAACTTTAATTCTCCCATCATCGACATTTCAAATTCACTTTGCATCATATCGGAAAAATCCCTGCACAAAACCTCGTTAGTAGCACCGAATATGATATCATCTACGTAAACTTGAACCAAAAGGATGTCTTGGTTATCTTTCTTGATAAAAAGAGTAGTGTCGACTTGACCCCGTTTGAACTCATGGTCCAAAAGAAATTTGCTTAACCGTTCATACCAAGCACGAGGTGCTTGTTTGAGACCGTAAAG